ATTATTTCTAGAGTTCATTAAATTTTTGTAGGTTTGTGAAGCCTATTTTCGCCCAGAGATCTCCTGAGTGCTATGATGACAACGCAAGGAAAGTCATCACTAAGAAAACCGAAATTAAAAGATGGAACTAGTCGCGCGACTTTTCTTGCCGTCTGAGCTCTTTGGAGCTCAACTAGCACAACTCGGCACGGACTGGCCAAACCCTTGGTCTCACACGGAACGGAACGGCAAGAGTATCAGGGCTGCCTACCTTTGCTTCCGACTGACTTCGGTTGTCGCGTTTTCGCAGTTCCTTACAGTGCCCTGTGTTTTTATGTGCTATTTTATTCCACGTAAAGAAACTAGAAGAATACTGGAAAAAAGATGGGATAATGGAATTCGCAGGGAATGACATCAAAATAAATACAACTGGGTATGTAAGCGATGATTCCAATTATTCAGAAGACGACAAGTAATATCACTAATAATAAATCTCATTAATAAGCACTAATATCATTCACTAATAATTTTAATTTATGGTTGCTATAAATGGCTGTAACTAACCCGACTTCGTTATATATATTAGATATATAGATATATATATATATATATAGCGTGGCTATTGGGATTGTGGCAACCCATAACACCCACCGTCTCATGGTGAGTGAAGCGAGCTAGTCTGTGAAGCAGCGATAACAGCGCGTAAGCGGAGAGTACTTAACCGCGCGGCCGTATCCGTTGCGTACCTAAAACAAATGCGATACTTTGCGGAGTAATGTTTTCCTTGTGAAGGGGTTAAGAGAGGAAGTAGCGGCCCTACCACGAATTTCCCAGCGCGTCGATAAATACGCGGAACCCGCAACGTGAAGCTCTCTTCTTGGTCGACCACGCGTCTGAGTAGGAGCAGCATGCTCTTTGTTTGATCACGTTCGACGAGTCAACATTTTCATTAAACATTAGATATTGTTTTGCGGCCTGCAAGCGACACTAGTAGTATTATATCTAGACGTCATGCAGTTATGCAGATAAGTAGTTGTTCTCAATTAACAACACGCGGCAAGTAAAAGGTGCCCGTTGTGAGGAACATTAAAGTTCTGGCTAGCAGTAAAAGTAGCAACCGAGGCGGAGGAACTTGCACGAGTATTCGGTAAGTGCAAGACATTTTCGCAAGCGTGGCCGTAGTCGGAGGCGCGGTAGAGACGAGGAATTAAGAAGAGACCGAGGTATCCAGGCGCCGACGTGGAAGAAGACGCGAACGGCTGGGAACGAACGGAAGAGGACCGCAGAAGGAAACGCAGAACGGGCAGAGGCGAATCCCGTCTCTCTACGACTCAAGAGGCTGGGACGAGCGGCGTCAGCGCAGCGTACCAGCGCACGACCATTAAGGCAATGGGAAGTCCACGAGGTAACGAGTAGGAACCACAGAAAATAGTCAAGATTCACTCCGGCAGGGAAAAACTAGTAAAGTGTTAAGATTCGAGGACAACGGGTGCAACAAATTACGAGATCTTTAGGTAGGAGACGTTTTTTGATGCGCTTATTGCCTGCCCCCTTAAAAAAATCTACTTAGGAACATTATTATTTCGCTTATTTTTCAGACAGTTAAATTGTAAATGAGATAGTGCTACTTACAGCACACTTTGTTCATTTAATGTAATATACTTTTGGAAGGCGGAGAGATTGGAATTGAATTTTTTGATTTCACCGTGCAATGTAATAGAATATCACAAATTTAAAGTAATTAATTTCCAAGGGAATTCCCAGCTGTAGTTTTGGGAATTATTTCCAGAGGGATCAATTTTTTGGAAGTAAATTATGTGTTGCATTTCATATATGAAGTGTGTGTTGTAAAGGTTTCTATCTGTGTGGATGATTCTTTGTTAAAAGATGTTGATTCTATATTTCTTGGGTCTGTCATTAACTTATGCCACTAAAAGTTTATGGCAATGTATACGCGTCGTTTGGTGGGCAATCTGTGTGATTTTATTGTGTTCAAGGTTCAAACCTTTCTCGCGACCCTGGAAATCCTGCTCCGAAGATTTTTAAGGCTCGCTCACGAGCAAATCTTGGATTAACCCGCTTTACGGTTTGCATGTCTACTGTGAAGGTGGTAAGTGTGTAGGTAGGTGGGTATGTGTGGCGAATTGTCTCATGGAGTGATTTTGGTGGGAAAGTGCGAACAAAAAAAAGAAAAAAAAAAAACAAAAAAAAAAAAAAAACAAAAAAAAAAAAAAAAAAAAAAAAAACAAAAAAAAAAAAAAAAAAAAAAAAAAAAAAAACAAAAAAAAAAAAAAAAACCAAAAAAAAAAAGAAAAAAAAAAAAAAAAAAAAAACAAAAAAAAAAAAAAAAAAAAAAAAAAAAAACAAAAAAAAAAAAAAAAAAAAAAAAAAAAAAAAAAAAAAAAAAAAAACAAAAAAAAAAAAAAAAAAAAAAAAAAAAAAACAAAGAACAAAAATATATATATATATATATATACAGATGTCATGTTTAACTTGAAAACTTGAAATAACTCAAAAAATACGCGATGTACGAGAAATTGAGCCGCGGCCAAATATTAACAGTTTTGAAGGGGGAATCATTCTATGCTCAAATCAGCACCCCCTGCCCCCAGCGGGTGGGGCGGTGGGTAACATTGAAATCTTAAATATGTACCCCCATTTTTTATTTCAGAGTCGGATTCTACGGACAAAGATACATACGTTTTGTCTGAAACGTTTTTTCTGATTTGTGATGGAGCTATAATCACAAAAATTTATTTTTCGAAGATTTCCGACTGTAATTGGAGAGGTTTTGAGTGTGGCCTTAGGGCACACCCATTCAATTTGTTGGTAGCGTCTCTCCATGGTCCGTGTCTACAGTAGTTAGAGGCGATCCGATATTTGTTAAACATTTACCTTTCTGAACTAATATTCCTCCTTGTTGCATCATTAATTATGTAAATGTGCAAGAAAAAATTGAAATGATTTTCATTTACAGCGAAGCCAGCAGAAATTTCGACGCCGCTGTTCATTTGTTTGCTAAGCGTTTCCCTGACAGAGTCTACGGACGGAAGCGTCCAACCGAAGAAAAGAACACGAAGAGTTTCTGCTACTGAAGAAAATAACCAAATATCAGTACTGGCTGCAGTAGCTCATAATCCACATGCGAGTGTTCCAGAAATATCTCAACAATCAGGGATTCCTCGTATGAGTGTTTGGAGGATACTGAATAAACGAACGTACATAAATTTCTTCCGTATCATGCATCCTTGCATCAGGAATTAACTGACAATGACTTTCAAAACCGACTACAGTTTTGTCAATGGGCAGTTCAGAGAATACAAACGAATCCGAACTTTTTTACTAAAGTACTATTCTCTGATAAATCGATATTTGCAAACCACGGTGAAGTTAACTGCCATAACATGCATTTTTGGAGAGTAGAAGGCCACACTGGATTCGTCAAGTACATCATCAGCGAGCTTGATCGGTTAACGTTTGATGTGGAATAATTGGCGATAAATTTATCGGACCATACTTTATTGACGGAAATCTAAATGGTGAGAAGTACCGAAACCTTCTTAATAAAGAACTACCGAGAATGCTGGAAGACAAGTTTGGAAGTGCGACAAAACATGTGGTTTCAACATGTTGGTTGCCCAGCACATTACTCTTCAGTAGCATGCGAAGTATTGGATCGGGTTTACAATAATCGTTGGATCGGTACAGAAGGGCCAGTGCACTGGCCAGCCAAATCACCAGACCTTACCTAACCAGATTTCTTTTTGTGGGGTTACCTAAAAGATGTCGTTTATAAAGAAACACCTGCTACTCGTGAAAACATGATGCAATGAATAAGGGACGCTTGTGCCGCGATTACACCAGATATGCTTATGTGTTCGTTCATTTGCCGGACGAATCAATAAATTGCATTGAGGTTCAGGACTATCATTTTGAGCGCTTACTTTAAATAAAAGCTGAGGTATTTGTAGAATCATCTAAAACCAGCACTCCGATAGTGAGAGGCAAGGGGACTCACTGAAAACAAGCACCCCGAAGGGAACAGAAAACTACTACGTCCACGTCGTTGTTCCTGGGTTACGCTAAAAGTATTTAAAAAATTACAATAGGAAATCTTCGGAAATCAAATTTTTGCGATTACAGCTCCATCTATTACAAATCAGAAAAAAAAGTTTCAGACAAAACTTATGTATTTTTGTCCGTAGAATCCGAATCTGAAATAAAAAATGGCGGTTCGTATTTAAGATTCCAACCCACCGCCCCACTCGCTGGGGGCAGGGGGTGCTGATTTTAAGATAGAATGATTCCCCCTTCAAAACTGTTAAGATTTGGTCTCGGCTCAAGTTTTCGTACATCGCGTATTTTGTGAGTTATTTCAAGTTGTCAAGTTAAATGGAACACCTGTATGTATGTATGTCTGTATGTATATATATATATATATATATATATATATATATATATATATATATATATTCGGGAACGACGCTCCCCAAGCCATCTGGAAACTCTGAATAAATAGTCCAAGATAAAATCAATGAAATCTATTAACTGCATCAATGTCATAGTTTCTTTCTTCTTGAAATATTTTGTATTTCTTTATGATTAAAATATTTCTTAGCTCAATAAACACATTTAAGGGGAAGGGGAAGCCAGAAATTCTGTTGGCTCTTCTCTTGTTTCAGGTTATGTCGCGTTCGATGATACAAGTAAACTAAACTACAATGGTGCGTTAACGAAATCAAAATGGCAGTGGATTAGACCTCTTTTCACTAACATTTTACTTCTTTGCTCATGTTCTGATCTTTCGTTCGTGGCATTCATCTGTTCACCAGCAATTAATGAACATTTGTGCTTCTGGTAGTATTAAGTCATCCTATCCTTTTAAAATGTTTGTTTGAAACATTTGTTCACTTTGAACTCCCGGTGACAAAAACGAATATTTTTTATGATAAACGTAAATAGTTTCTAAATGTCCTTGTTCACCTCCACGCTTGTAAATACAGTCGTTTCGATGTCCGTACCTTCTCCAGAAGGTACGTCTTGTACGTATGTAATTTTGCACGCCAAAGATGATGGCTGATCAGGATTCTCCTCCAAACCACGAAGAAGCTCCTGGGTGAAGACATCCCTTATACGGACAAGTGTATCTTCTTTTAGATCGAATCGGTTGCATACTTCTATCAGCTGATACAAAGACAATGACAGATAATACAAAAACGTTAATTACTCAACTTAGCATTTAATTTACAAAATTACACTTCATGTATTTTACATCTTACCTGCGGAGTGGGTTTATAAAGATATGTTACCATTGTGACTCTGAATGATTTGATGATATTGATTAAATTTATTTATAATTAAATCGCTTCAGTGGTTCTAAACGTGCCTTACTCATGCTTGTATACATTCATAATTGACAAATGACTACAAATTTCTTCCAAGGTCACCTTCTTTTCTACGCCCACAAGATTTCCAAACGATAACCTTAGGGTGACGTGGTCAAAACCGATAACAATATGAAAACGCTCTTAATAATTTTCCATGTAATGTCGCCAAATCATGAAAAAACACACCGCATAACAGTTACAGTGCTCGCACCAGCATGCCAAAGAAGGAAACTGGACTTGAACACATTTGTGAATTGCCACCTGAGGAAGACTTTGCTTTCGTATTTTTACCTGAAGATACTATCAAAGCAAGAGTGCGAAGATGTGTCATTCGCCGCATCACCATTTCGTCCACCGACATTCGTACCATACGCTTTTTCAAGAGCACAAAAGCCATCAATCTCGAACGAGATCGCCATTTGAAGAACCACATGAACATAGTCCATCCTTTCAGTCCGTTTCGTCGTAGCTGGAATGCTTTCATGATAGTTGTTTACCTATACGCAATGCTCTTCATACCAGTATATGTTGCTTTTATTTGCACATCTCATGAAAAGTCGTCGATATGGATACTACTTGATCTTGTGCAGTGTTTTCTGAGCTCACTGGACATAATTGTTAATTTCTTTACAGGATACGTTCAAAACTCTGAAACTATTGTTTTATTGTCTTGGAAGATTTTCGTTTATTATTTACGGACGTTTCTGGTTTTCGATCTCATTTCTTGCGTTCCTTTTGATCACATAATCTGCTTTATTTCTGGATACTGTCCATACGGCCAGCTGATAGCTAGTCTTCGATTATTGAAGTTCGTGCGAATTTGCACTCTCCACAAATATATTCGGGATGTATTTGATTCTCTGCAAATTGCGGTTGTGGTTGCGGAGGTAAGTGGCCAAGACGAAGTACCCGACATGTGATTCTGATATTAGCAAACAACTTCACTAATGTGCTGAATGCGTTTCAGGTTTTGTGGATTTTAATAGCAGTGTTCTTCACAGTCCACTTGTTATGCTGTCTACAGTATTTACTTGGATATTTGACAGCAGAATATGATCCCCAATCATGGGTTGTAGAGGAAGAACAAATGACAAGTCTCTTCTGGTTGAAAAGATACATGGCTTCGTTTTTTCGTGCATCCACAGCCTTTTTGAACATGGGATTCGGATTGACAAATCCGGAATCTCCCTATGACCAGGTTTTCTTCTTGTTCTTATTCTGCAACATAGTATATTGTATTTTACCATTAACTGTCTTTTATTTTCTTTAGGTATTCGTCGTAATAATTGCAGGAATTGGAGCAATACTCCTAATCGTTTTTATTGGCAAATTTCTACAGTGGACATACATTTCAAATTCATCGGCAGTTCTTTTCGGGGAAATGATCCAGCAGTTAAATTCATATATGAAACACAAACGACTACCATCGTCGTTGAAGAAACGATTGGTCCAGTACTATCAGTTTCGATACCAGGATAATTTCTTCAATGTAGGTAAATAATATTTTTATACTTCATTAGTGGTTTGGTTCTTGAGCTACATTCAGGCTAACGTTGATTTAACGACCGTAGAGCACTAACCTTACTTTCATCTTTAAAAAATTAAGGAATCTTAATTCATTTTACACAAATTTGGACTTTATTTCTATCCGCAAAATTTAATGCCTTGACGGCAACACATACAGGGATGTTACAGGGAAAGAACTAGACTAGTCACTCTATTATTTTTGTGTTTTCTGTCTTACCTCTTCTTTCCCTTAAGGCCTGTCTAGTCAAACAGAAAGAATTGCCAAATAGCATTGTCGGCTGACATAATAATTTCCATGAAGATGTAATTTTTTGGCCTAAGTAATCAAATAGTGCTCAACGTTTTCAGTTCAACAGAAATAATTAAATTTTTCAAAAATGTTACCTGAGAAGTGGTTCAGGGCATCGACTGATGTTACCGGGAGGTTCTAGGATTCGAATCCCGACGGCGGCAGGGTTTTCGACACTAGCTTGTCAGCGAGGTCAATTTCAGTTGCCGTCTGGAGGAGAATTCTAGCGGCCGGCTGCTCTCATCGGTAGCTTTCCGTAGTTTTACCATTCACTCCCAGGCGAATGCCTGAGCAGTACCCTAACAAAGGGGCCAGGGACCACGAGTGATCTTTCGTTCCTCTTCCTCGACCTATCCTCACCCCGTACACGCACTCCATGCTCTGCACCTTCACACATGCCGGGAGCTTAGACCGTGGTCCGGCTAGGGCGGTGCCGCTGGTGGCAGATACCCCGTTAGCGGTCAGTAGGTCGGGCCGGATCTCGCCATCCAGCGGAGAAAGATCACCGCTACCTCTCAAGGAAAATACATGCACTACAGTTACGGAACGAATGAACTTAGCCATTGCTACGCCGGAAATGACTAATCAACCAATTACTAAAAAGTGGTAAAATTATTCACGCTTTAATACGCTCCGGTGCGTAATGCAAGCGTACTTCCATATCCACAAAAGGTGAAAACGACTTATCTGTTGTCTGTTAGAGTCAAACGCAAAACCTGAAACTAGAAACATGAAATTTGAAACATATATTCCTATTATAATTATTGTAGGACACCGCTTAGAAATGATTTTTACAAATTCATCCCCTGAAAGTATGAAATTCTATTTATTTAAAAATAATATAGAATGTGCGATGCATTTACTTCTAGCATGATTGGAAGAGCGGGGCCGGGCGAAGCGGCAAAAAAAAAAAAAAAAAAAAAAAAAAAAACAAATAAAAACAGCTCGATCGCCGGGTAATCCGAATAAATGGGGGTGTGGTCTGTTCGGATCATCCGAAAAAAATATCCCGTACAATGTACAAGACACAATGTAACGTAGCGTAGCAATCGCATCATAAAGCAGACTCAGATTTTCACGGCGTAAGATTACCGAGTTTGCAAGCTCCTCTAAGTGAACATTACTGTTACATAAACATTTGGTATATACCGTTATTACCAATGCAATAAACGTTTCCTTTCGACAACTTGTTGCAATAGTTAGTTGTTCAGTTCTACACTATCTTTACAATACACATATACATTTTATTTATTTTGTTTATTTATTCTCAACACCTGATTTTTTCGTATTACCAAAAATTTCGCATTAGCGGGGTTCTACTGTACTTCCGTTACACATCATAAAGTTATTATTTCTCCTAATAGATGGTGTGTTGTAAATAAATATCCGGGCACTTCAACACGCCACCAATGGCAGGAAAGCCAAAGAGGACACCACATGTGACCTTCAAAGACAATTAAAACCATCCGATATACCTCATTACTTTCCTGAAGATGGAATAAATTGATCTATCTTGTTTCTGGGAAAGTATATTTCTGAATTCGTATCATCGTCTTATGTTATATTCTCTCGTCAGAAAATTTATATGGCTCTTTATCAGCGCCGGAGCTAGACAATTTTGGGCCCCGGGCAACGCTCGTCCCTCGAAAAAATGAAAAGTAAAGTGAAAGTTGTATCGGGAAATGAGTTATTTTGTTTCAACAAATAACAAAAAGTACGTTTAAGCTAGAAAAAGTTTTCGGAAGTATATTTTAAATAATAGTTTTAAGTAAAAGTATTTAGTTATCAAATAATATTATTTCCATGGTGACTTTAAAATATTTCAAAAATGGTTATGTTTAGTGACGGTTTAATAAAACAGGTACAGGTAGTTACAGTTTAATAAAACTACCTGTGAAATGCATTAAATAATACATTTCAGTAGAACATATTTTAATATTAGCGTCATTTGATTCATTTCACAGATTCCTACCTTGTAAGTAATGACTATTATTAACTATTTAAGGTAAACAATTAATTGTATTTTTTGTGAAATATCAGACTACTGTTCCGCGACTTATAAAATTACTTTAACGATTTTCTCGAGTTCTAATTTCTTTTTCAATATATTTTACAATTGTTTCCCCACTCGGTCCCATCATGGGGCCCCTTGACTTGCGGGGTCCCGGGTGTTTGACTACCCGATCTGCCCATGCTTCGCACCGGCACTGCTCTACATCCTTACCTCATGCGAAGAAATCGACTCACTTCCTCGAGAATATGGCCAACAACACGAATCCGCTCACGAAATGGCGTCGTATGTAACAAAACTAAGTCTCGGTTGATGCTTCACTACACTTCGTCAAGGTGATGTCGAGGCTCCGGACCAGCGATTATCATAAAACATCCTTGGATCTGTCCAAAGGATGCATGCCAAAGTAATTTATTAATTAATAAAGCCTACACATAGGCAGGGAAACTAATACCCGGTTCTACAGTTTATTGTTAGAAAAATGTCTTTTGTAAAAATTTAAAAAAATTAATTTAGAATGGTTTCTGAAAAAATGTTTTTTTAGTTGCATTTATTTCAAACAGAAATTAATCATTTTCCAAAAAAATGTACACGACATTTTTTAAAGATCTGAGTTTTACTTTTCCGTATACGTAGGAGTTACTATATACGTAATATAGAGAAAGTTATGAAATGCTAGGGCAAAAAATGGCAATTTTTCGACGGAATAACTCATATTGTGGGGCCCTAAAACAGGAAAAGTAGATAAATCCTGTTTTAATGTATAGTAAATTACTCCCTCTAACACGTTATGTAGTCAGATTTTACGAATAGTGAATTCTTATTAGCAAAAAAGTGGTATTTTCAAAACGTTGGTTCGTCCGTTCGTCTGTCTCTGAGGAACAACAGTGCCTGAACTATTCTTAGCTTTCCAAACTGAAGAATTCCCGGTCGATCTTAGCCCCACACGAATATGAGACTTTGAATAACATTACTAATGTTATGGGGTATTTTACATGAATCCCCCGGGAGATTTTCAAATCTTCTCCTCAAAAACCTCTATCTTCAGTACTGTAGTAGTAGGAAGGTGCTGAAAAACTTTTGAACTTTTGTAATTTT